ATATCCTCTACTATAATATAGAGCATCCCCGGGGAAAACTCTCCTGCCAACCTCGACTGCGGACTCTTCTCTTTGAATTGAATATCTCTCTTATTGCCCTGCTCTCTGGCTCTGTCAAACAAGACTGGAAAACTCTCCTTTAGCCATGAATACCTGACTTGCTCATAACAAGTAAAGAAAGTCAATAAGTATGAATTCGACCCCAAGACCCATATTCAGCATTTAGTACTAAGATACATAATTGAACTCAGTAGCCAAACACTACTTTAAGGAGGCCAGGGAAGAAATAGAATCAGCTGCTCTTATAGTAAGTTGCAGAGTACTGTTAGCTGTTACTTGTCTCTCCTACTATACTAACTATGGGCCTGCCACTACTACTTATAATACCTGAGCTTGGAACTAAGGCTTTAACACAAAATAGGGAATCCTACTAGTGCTGTCGAACTGAAACTACAAACAAAGGCTTTCACTGTTGCTACAGGAATTAATCACTGCCTAGCGAACCAACCTCGCAACTAGGAAGCTGAGACGTAAGACCTTAACTCGCCAGAATCCAAAACTAGGAAAGGAGCTACTACTGATCAGAATCCAATCAGTAATTAAGACCTTTCTTTCATTGAATTCTTATTTGTAATAAACTATATACTCCTTCTTTCTAACCTTCTATGCGGGTTTACTGCTATAATGGAATTCTTATTTGTCATTGAAAACAGCTCTTAAAAACGGGAGTTCTTTTCTTATTCTTGTAGATCAGTTGCGGCGTACAAATAACATCCCTATTCGTTATCGTTAAGTAAAATAACATCCCTATTTGTTATCATTAAGTCCCATCCCTATTGGTTATCGTTAAGTCACACCCCTTTCCCTATTCGTTATCGTTAAGTAAAATCCCTATTCGTAGCCCCGAGCTCAAAGAGTGTGCAAGGCACGTTCTATGCATGGGGGTGTGGGACCATCGATGCACGACCGACCACCCGAAAGGGAAGGATACAGAGAAAGCGTAAAGTATCAAAAAAACAGAAAAGAAGTAGCACTTTGGGGCAAAAAAGGCGAGTTCTATATAAGTGAACGATGGAGGTTTGAAGTCAAAATCACTCTTTAAGTGGGGATTGATTCTTTTACTTACGCCTGTTAGCCTGGCACTGTGCTTTATCTAATCCTTGTTTATGGGCTTTAGGCTTACTTTCCCTCCTTTGACTCTCAGTTTACTAGCTCTCGGTCTATAGCTAAGGTATTTCATTATGTATCTCCCGACCTCACATCCGTATTAGTGGATGAAGTCTGCGCCCTCCCTTGATGTTAGTATGCATTGCCTTGCTTTCAAGCTGATACTAATACCAATTGGAATGACACAAGAAAAGGAGAATTCCACTAGTACTTATTGGACTTATAACCCACCAACCGAGCCTGATACACCTTAATTTGAGTCTCCCGTGTCTAGCCATAAGTCTGTATTCGATGAGCTCAGCTCTGATAACAACCCCCACTACATTGGAATTGAACCACCAATGACTGTCCTAAAGTACTATGTGCGAGTGTTGGCCCGACACCCCTACCTCTAAGCGTTAAGCTGGGAACTTTGCCTTTCACTACGTAACGAAACCCGGTAGTCCAAGAATGTCACTCGATATACAGAGATCCTATTTGTTTGGACTGCTAGTCTTCTACTTATCCCTGGCATTCCTGTCTTTATTTCTATTGTTGGAGTTTTAGCATTCACTCGTCGGCTTCAACCTTTCACTCCTTTATCTCAGCCTCTATCTACTATCTATGAAGTCTGCCTTTGCTGCATAGGTCAAACTTAGAGTAAGATGGGTTTGTTTACAGCCCGCTAACTAAGTAATCGAAAAGAAGGGTGTTGGCTTGTTTCATTCAATTGACTAGCCGCCCTGCTACCGGTGCTACTACTACCAGGACAACTACTTTCATATCATAAAGGACAGAGACAGATGTTTTACTTGCATAGGCAGAGGCTACGAATACAGGGGACTGGTGGAATAAACTTAATCAGGGGAGTATTAATACGAATTGAACTCAGTAGTAACAGAGCACGGGTCAGAATTTCACTCACAAGTCAGTAGGAAAGTTTGAATTGAACTCGAAGCTATAGGAAACAGAATGAGGGGAGTTCAGAAACAGAATCCTCCATAATAGTAGCGAGGGAACAACATGGCGAAATGGGGCACTATTTGAATAGAGGAATGTAGTTACCTCAATAGAGATAATAGAGAGAGAAGAGACTAAACTCAAGCAGCTAGAAGATCGGAACTACTATATTAGAATCAAACCAGAAGGTAGAGAACAGAACGTTCGAATCAAATATATAGAATCAAATCGGAAGGTAGAAAACTATCAAGTCAGAATAAACCCGATATAGAATCAAATCGAAACTAAGGTAAGTACTATTATAACTACTATAAGTCGGAACTACGGTCAAGTGAGAATCAAAAACGACTGTATTGACTGGCAAGAAGAGAAGAGATATAGGTATGGTATGAAATAAAGGAGTTAGGAGTGAAAGAGTGAAGTTAGTATCTTTGTCAAGGAGTGAAGTCTGAGGAAAGGGGCCAAGCTACTGGGCAACCGCGCAGAATAGTCTCTATCCGGAGTAGTAGGAATGACTGGAATTCTTCCTTAAGAGTGTTCTTCTTAGTAGTTTCAGTTTCATTGTTCTACTTATCAGAGTTAGTAGCGAGTCCTGTGGAATGGAAGTATCCGATCCCGTGCCCTTAATTACTGGGTCGACGAGAGAAAAAGAAAGAGTAGAATCCAGCTGGAGAAGTCAGGTAAGAATAATCTAGTGGAGTTTAATCCTATCGAGTGTCATCCTACTAGAAAGTTTCATCCTATATAGAAGCCCTCATCTCTTTTATCATGCTCAGGAGTGGAACGATGTTGGGCAGAAAGCAGTTCTTAAAGTTCCGTTTCTTTGTGGACTGATTACTTATTTCTGTGAGTGCGAATAAAGTCTACTCTATTTGAAGCTACAGATATATATGCCCGGCCGGAGACAGAGTTTCAATAAGATCAGATGCCGGGGATGAAGGTGCTTGTGTCTAAGGCTTGCTCGATAGAATCAATTCATTCTTTTACTTGTGCTTACTTTACGGAGTTCTCTTACGCTTCATAGATAGATAGATTCCATTTCATGTTTAAGCCTTGTTCGGGCTAAAGTCAATTTCAATGATTTTATTACTTTACTGTTTTCAACAAGCAAAGGAAACCTACGCCTTCTGTAAATTCTGTATTGAGAGTTGTTGGCTTACTTTCCTATCCATCAGTATAACTTGACTAGAAATCAAACCCCTGCTGAACAATGCTTTCACTGAGAACTTAGCCCTTGCCCACGACCTCTGAGACTGAAATCACTTGAAACAAGCCTTGCTTTACTACTTAACAGCCTTACGACCTTGCATTTAGTTCTACAACTCCCTACTCGCAGTCTTTATCTCCATACTTTTATTCGTTAACTGTTGGCGGGGATCCTGTCGCTATACCTCGACGGACTTCAAAGCTACCTTTCCTTACTTTCCATCCATATCTACTGGTTTTGATGCAAACTACCCTGTAGATCAGATCAGTCTGCCCTAGCTTACAAACTTGGTACTGATAGTTAAGTTCCGCCTTTCCGGTAACTCAGCCTGCCTTTACTGCTTTTGATTCTCACTATACTGTTTCTCGCTCTGCTACTAATGAGTGAAATTCTATCTTTCTTTTCTTTCTTACCAATATGACTATTTAGTCTATTGCTGGATGCGCTATCCTCTTACTACTAAGAAAAGAAGTCTTCTCTTCTACCTGATAGCTCATACTCCATCTCTTATGCCTCTGATTTTCCTTCCCTAGAAAGATATTAGTGGAAAATGAACATTATCAATACAAGTAAACTAAGCCAAAGAATAATGGACAGGACAGTCAGAATGATAGACCGGGGGAGCATTAGTTGTTTCTAGCCGGACATGTCGGGAACAAGTACAGGCCCATGACACCAACTAAAGAATACAAGACAGGATCTACAGGCTAAGAGAAAGAAGTAGGAGACTTTGAATGGAGTGAAAAGATCTAAATCAGTAGTGCTAGAAGCAAATACAGGTTAGGTATCCTTCGATGCGGTTCGAGGGCCTTAGGGGAAGCCCCAGTTGTTTGTTTGAATCCTGTTTCTAATTCTGGTATTTGGTACTTAACCCTTCCGCTACTAATATCAGAATATTACTACTGCTTCTCGTACCTTATCTTAGAATACTTCATTGAATCGCCGATAACAAGATTGGCGCTAGCGCTGACAAGGCCGAAGCACCTTCTAACTCTGTGCTGTGATCCCCAACCGAAATACAAGTCTACCTTTACTTACTACCGTTCTTACTAGACTTTCTCCAAGCCCCGCCCTAAAGCATGTATTTCAACTAGTAGCCTTCGACTCACAAATGGGAATCCGAACGACTCCTATAAGGATTGAACTCTAGTGCTGACAGGGCTTACCTACTAACCCGGAGCTAGGAATCAAAGCTGACAGGGCTTACCTACTAACCCGGAGCTAGGAATCAAAGGAATAAGTAGAAGATCCGGGTATAAGAAATGCACTAAGTAGCCGTGGTCTCCAATTCATAATAAGAAGGTGCCCCCATAGAATGAAACCCAGGAGCACAGGAATGAACGGTTCCCCCAGTGTATGAGAATTAAGCTCGTAATAGAGTAGAGTAGTGAAAGAATCCAAGTATGAAGCAGCAGGCTAATAGGTGTAGTAGTATAGTTCCAATGATATTAGTTTGAATAAATAGTAGTAGGATCCTTAGTGGAGAGTCACAGTCTGATAGAGAAGCGAGACAAACAAGAGTTGCGGTTAGGGTAGTAAGCCCAATAGTCAGTGCCAAGCTTAGGAACAAGCAAGGGCGTAGCCTTTTTTGTGCGTTAGTTGTTGGAGCTATTGAGTTGTGCGCTTACGCGAGTTAACACTGATCTTGAAACTACACCTTTCCTTTCTCCTTTCTTTGTTCTCGAAGGCCGTGTGTAAAAGCAAACTTTCCAAATTCCAGAAATGACAAACCTTGATTTCTGTGATCTTACATACTGAGGACCATAAAAGAAGATCCAAATCCTGTTTATATATTTAGCTGTAAGCCTGAAGACAAGCACTATACCTTTAGCTGTAAGCCTGAAGACAAGCACCCCATACCTTTAGCTGTAAGCCTGAGGACAAGCACTAATTTAGACTTTGTAGCTGTAAGCCTGAAGACAAGCACTATACCTTGCTTAAGAATAATCAGAAAAAAGGTAAAGGGCGGAACTGACTGAAAAAGGAAAGGAGACCTTTCGGACTAGCACTCCTATCCTAGCTTCCCTCCCTTTGAAGTATCTTGGATTGATTTCTCAGCTCCACGAGTCACTAGAAGGAAGGTGCCAACTACTTATCATGGCCTATTGATTTGCCCTTTCGTATTCATTGACCTGAGGCACAAGAGTGTTCTTTGATGAAAAGAAAGGTGATTTTATGCAATGCATGACGGGCGGGCCTCCAGTGTATTCCTTTCCTCCAACTCAATGAATGAAGGGGGGAGTATGAGGAAGGCCTACAATCTTTGTGAAATTCCATGGAAAAAGGAAAACCTTACTTATATTCTATCATTCAATGAAAAGGGTGTTTCGCCTACTAGATTGATTTATGAAAAGATGTTCGCCTACTTATCTTTCTTTGTGAAATTCAATGGAAAAGGAGAAGGGTAAACCATATCTGACTGACAATAGGAATATGACTGAATGAGGAAGAGCTCTCTTTCTTGAAGTGGTATAACTTTAGCGCCATCTGAAATGCGCGAAACTTCGATTGGAGGAAGCCAGTCCATGAAGATGATCCTTTTTATTACGTGCAATTCCCCTCTTTCGGTAAGCATCCAGTATCTCCGCAAATGAACATTTATCTAAGCTTATCCTGTAGCTTATACGTCGTTTGAAAGCTGCTCCAAGGATCCAACGAATAGCTAAGGTTTGTTGACGATCCCTGGCTACAATCCCAGGTACATCATAAGTTGTACCAGCTACTCCTACTTTTACCACTTCGCATATAGGCTTTATATTATCTACGGCGTCAACCATAAGTTTGATGACATCGCGTTCTGAAATACTAGTTGCTGGGCGATGAAAAGTTTGATACACAATAGCACGAACTCTCGTTCTTTTACCATCGATCATGCGAAAGTTGACCAATTTATTGATCAATTGTTTTTGCTCACCATCCAAGTCCCCTATATAGCTGAGAATTGAAGAGCGAAAATGGTTATTACGCAATCTATACTGTCCTTCTTTATCAGCCAACTCCCCTCTTTCCTTCCTTATATATTCTCTATCTCAATATCGACGCTTATCTATCTCAATATCTTAGCTCCCACAGATGATCTACCCGGGGCGGAAGAAAACTCTAGGGATACAAGGTGTCCTAACTAAATCAACACAAAAAAACCGGAGAAGTATAGCCTAGCCATTGCATCTATCATATCAGTCGATTCGTTCTTATCTATGGATAATGCAAGAGAGAACTTATTTGTTCGCGGATGGAGAGGGATTCGAACCCCCGGTATTCCTATCAATACTTCGGTTTTCAAGACCGACTCTTTAAACCGCTCAGACATCCATCCCTTCTAGCCGCCCTTTTGATATCTGCGCAACTATATGTGATTCGCTACGCTTGCTTGCGCCCCACCCCGTAAGCTGACTCCATTGCCTGTCGGTTAGCGAAACTTTGATGGTAGCCTGTAAAACATAGAGCTACGCTTCTTTATATATGATAATATGCACCGTCGACGCTCTCTGCGGGTAGCCTGTAAAACATAGAGCTACGCTTCTTTATATATGATATATGAGAATATGAACCTCTCTGCGGGTAATAGCAAGAGAGTTAAAGAACGCCCAAAAGTAAGCAGTGATTGAGGGAGACTGAAGTGAGTGAGTGAAAGGCGTGGCAAGAGAGTGAGTTCTACTCGTCGCAAGTGAAGGCAATGAATTAGAGTCCTTTAACGCCTGTACTCTTGTAAGACTGGTACTTGGCGGCTCACCGAGCAACATCTAGAGGTTGCCCATCACTCCCTCGCTCCTTTTTGAAGGCCTACCGCTCCCTTTTTCATTAAGTGGCTTGCATTCTTTGGCGAGTACAACAAAGCCATAAGAACACTGAACGCCCAGAGCAGCTCTCTCCCCAGTCCACAGCAACGTGTGGAATCCGGATCTATTGTTTGTTCTTACTCTTATTGGATCAAGTCAGTGAGTTTAGCTCGCTACCGTTTAACACAGGCTCCTACCGCCCAGAACACATCTATTGTAATAAAAAGAGTGGAGCGGCCCCAAAAACATCTATTGTAATAAAAAGAGTGGAGCGGCCCCAAAAACATCTATTGTAATTAAAAGAGTGGAGCGGCCCTGCCGCGCAACGTTAGTAGTTGCTTGGCCTGTTGCTACCGCTTTTAGCTCGCTGCCGCTCTGAACTCCTGACGCCGAAAGCATCTATTGTTATAACTCGTAATATCTATTATTGCTGCTACCGCCCAACGTCTTGCTTAGTTGCTTGGTCGTTAGTAGTTGTTTGTCTAGTAGTTACTTGGCGCGCCGTTGCTTGGTCGTTAGTAGTTGCTTGGCCTATTACCTTGGCTACCGCCCAACGTCTTGCTTAGTTGCTTGGTCGGAACATTAGTCGTTCCTTGGCCCCTAATAGAGTATTATTAGGCAGTGTTCGAATCCTGTTGGCATTGGGTTAGCTCTTGCTCCTAGTGGTGTAAGTTTGAAAGCAAGTAGTGACAAACTCATAATGGAACATAGACATTGAAGCTACACAACTACAGCATCAAAGCTAGGAAACTAAGACTTTCAAAAGGGAGCGGAAGAGTTAGATACAGCAGATACAGCCCGAGACGAGAGGCAGGAACTACAGACTAAAAGCGAGTTCTAGAAGAATCCAGTCCAGGGTGAACTAAAGAACGGGAGCAAGGGATGTTGTTTTGGAACAAGCAAGTTTGTATCCGAATATGGAGTATTTGTATAAAAAGCAGTAGAGCAATTAGAATAGTAGGTAGTTGCTTTCTTGTTAGCAGTAGAACAAGCGCGAAGTAAGGTGCTTCAAGCCTTGTTTTGTTAAGGAGTTATAGTTTGATAGCTAAGAAAGATAGACTGCATAGGCGTATTGGGAGAGTTAAAGTCAAGAGTAAGTAGTTTGGCAGTGCTCAATTCCTATTTCGATGTCAGGGTGTCAGTGACTTGTCTGGCTCTTATACCGCTTTGTACGATTACTTGGCCGGGCTCTTATACCGCTTTGTACTATTCTGACTATAAGTCTTATAGCTTATCAAAGTGATTAGTATCTCGGGAGGGTACCCTTACTTGAAAACGGAAACTCCCCTCCTTAACTCTTCCCATCTCGCCGGGGAGACCTGTATTTGATCAAGCCCACAGAGATCACATTCTTTGAATTATTAGTTCCATTCTGAAATTCCGCTTACACCTTCCGAGTCCTATGTCGGAGAGTCTCCTACTAACAGAAGTATTATAATGCCATTGCTAATATCCCACCCCTATATTCTTATTCCTCTGTTCCGGGGAAGTCCAGGATACTATAATACAGACTGGACACCATAATACTGACTTTTGAGTTTCATTCCTCCTGTTGTGGGTGCGTTACCAATGGGTAAACTCTCCCCTCATCAAAGAGAAACTGCCAGCTAACTAAGTCATTTATAGTATAGTATTTGTTCATATGCTTGTGTTTCAATCAAATCTAAGTATTGAGGAAAACTGCGAAAAGCCACTCCCTACAGGATCACAGCAGCAAGCAAGTGTGTAGATGATATCTGTTTTGGCATTCAATATCTTTCGCTCTTAGAATCCTCTTTCCTGATATATATTCACCGCGTGTAACAACTGTGTAAGGCTTTCTTCTCAAAAGGCCAACCCTTTTCTTTTCTTTTAAAGAAGCCATCACGGCCAGTTAGCGGGGGTAAATCAAAAAGCTGACATACCGCCGGCCCTTATCTCTTATTTGCTTTAAAGCGGGTTTTTGCTTCTTGTTCGAATTCCCTCAATGAAACAAACTAACCCCATCTGTGTTCCTGAGTGAGGTAGGAGTCGCCCTTAACCTAATAGGCCCATTTCTGGGGAGCTAGCTTGCTTTTTCACTTATGTCATGTCATAGGGATCGCCACGCTTAAAATCCTTCCCCGTGATATGAGTTTCGATTTCGAGTGACTAAACGGACCAACGAAGGGGCGAAAGAGCAGTGCTTCCATTCCCTTCGCCCGAGAGACTTTCCAGCTCCAACTACTGATCCAGCAACTGATCTTGTTTACAATGCAACTTTGACTTTCCTTTTGATCGGTCTAATAGGAATAGCTCATCTAACTAAGGCAACAAATACTGATTCCACTAGGGATTCTACTCATACCATTAACTTCAGGGAAGGACTACTACTAATACAACAAATACAGATGAAACAACTAAAGTCAGCCTTGAACTTCCACTTCCACTTCTTGAAGGGAGAGCACACTACCGCCAGTTCTTTGGAATCTGATTAAGCATTTGATCTTGGCGCTGTTCTCTCTCTATCAATCCGGTCTTCCAGCTACCCGGTGCTCTTCTCTGGTCTTCCACTCTAGTATTACTATTAATGGTCTTCTACTCTGGTATTCCTACTTTGACTTATACTAATCCGACTAATACTTATAGCTTAGAATAAGGGATAAGAAGCGAGGGTGGTTGGGTACTGGCTTCTGAAGCACTAACTGAGTTCAAAGAAAAGAGCCCAGAGGTATAGACTTGTTCTTGAACTAGCAGCCCTGCCGCGAGCACCTGTTTAGTTCTGACTTTCCTGTTAGTATACGCTTGCCGGTGACAAGTAGATTTCTTTTCTTGTTGAAGACCTTGTTGCCAGAGCCGAGCCTTTAGCCTTTAGTTTATGAGTGGAATATCCTTCATTAGTAGTGGAATCAGTAGTAGCAGCAATCGGGAAATTACTAGAAGGTCTTGTTGAAGTAGAAAGTCCGATCACCCTGCTGGCATACCACACTGGACTCGTTCTCTCTCTTTCTGCCCCAGCCAAGACACTAAAAGACAACTCTGTCTCATCTGTCCAAGCCGGTAGGTGCCGGGAAAGTGTTTCGGAGGGGACTCTCGATCTGGTGTTAAAGGATTGAACTCGCCTATAAAGAAAAGGAGTAAGAACGAGAAAAGATGAAACTCGCCTATAAAGAGAAGGCACTGGAAGTGCCCTAATATAAGTAAGGGCAAGCCGATAGCCTTTTAATATAATATAAGTAAGGGGCGAAAGAGGTGTTTCGGGAAGGGCCAAGCTTAGTTGTTAGTTGTGCGTCAGGAGCCCTGTCAAAAGTAGTGGTTTTCGTTTCTATGCTTGTCTATCCGTTCCTTGGCGGTCATTAGTAGTTGCTTGTTGGCTATGAATGCGGAAGGGATAGTAAGTATAAGGCTATGAAGCAAGAAAGTATCTCGGAACAGGCGCAAGGGAACAACCATAAAGATCTAGGTTTCAAATTCACTATAACAGCCAAGACACTACTAATGTGTCGCGGCAGGGCCGCTCATCTGTGCCCGTTTGATGGCAAATGAAATTCCCTATTCATTCGCTTCAAATGGCATTCTAATAGGATTTCACAAGGGATTCAACTCGGGATGGTACACTATTGATTGCCCCTGTACCTGCTCAAGCCTATTGATCCTAGAATTCCTCACCTGTTCTTTGAACTGTTACTGCCATGTAAGATATAGATTGGTAACCAAGCAGGCCAGGCCCAGAGTGAAAGGCTTAACCGAGTAGTAGGAATCTATTGAAACAAAGAATGCAACTATCAACTTCCCCTCATCAGGCTAAGGATTTTGTTTACCCGGCATTCAGTCAATTCAGAATTCACTCCTAAAACTACATCTAGTAGAACACAAGTAAGCTCCAGTGGAAGACAAGAGTCCTGGGCAAGCGTATACTAACGACTTCGCCAAGCAACCAATTACTGATACGGCCTTCCCGCTCGCAACCAGTAATTGAGGAAAACATACTAAATGATATATTATCTTATTAATCTGATAGCCTTCTATCATACCTAGAGCGAGAGCAGTTAGGGACTTCCTTCTATTATACTATCTCTTCTACTGGATGCGCTGGAACAATACTTTAATCTGATCAATTACCCCACAAAGTCAGTAAACAACACTACCCGACCCGAGCTCTAGTGTTAACCCCGAAACAGACTATAAGGGCCTCTTCTACTGGAAGGGTTTTCTCTTCTTGTTTCGTGTTTCGTGCCCTTGACCTTAACCCAGCTTTCATTGCACAACTCACTATTCCTTCAGTAGCTGGCATAGGTGTTTAAGGATCTGTGCCTTTGTAGTAGTTGATTGGCTGGTGCGACTTACTATTTCGTTGTTGGAGTAGAATACCGAGTTTCGTCTTCACCCCTGGGTCTCATTCCGATTCTATTGTTTAATTACCCTACCTCTGGCTCTTGTTCAATTACCCTATAAGTACTAGTATACCTCTTAGTCGGATACTGCTTCACTTCATTCTCTATTGACCCCTTGATTCTTCTATTGCTAATTTGCATTCTTATGTTCACCCTTAAGTCTGACACTCCTACTGCTCAATTCTTTAGTGAGAGGCCGTACTTCTCTTTCCTTTAGCCTTGCTTCTTTGCTTAAGTATGCTATGCCATCTGTCCCTACAAGACAATACTGAACTCAATGGATACCAAAAACCATATCAAGCCATCGCTGGCAGCTGACGCTTCCCTTACTTTTTGTCTGTGACTTTATTCTTTCATTCCAACCACGGATAACAGGACTTTCCCTACTGCTTTTAAGCCTTTCCTTACTGCCTATGAATCTTACTATTCTGACTTTCGTTCTTTCGCTACTATACTATCTATTAAGCCTGGCCCTACAAATCTCAATGTCTTCCCTGCCTATTGATTCTTTCACACCAGGGACCGAACCTTGCTCTACTTACTGAAAAGCTGTCTGCTTGCCGTCTTGTCTAGTCGTTGCTTGGCCCTTTCACTTCATCGTATGATCCTTTTTGGTTTAGGTCGTGCGGGGGACCCATAAACACTAGGGAATCCTCGTTGGCAAAGAAAAAAGAGAGAAAGGCCAGACCGACAATAGGAGAGTTTCTAAATAACCACTTCCAAATAAGACAGAAAGGGTGGGCAATCCACTTGAAAAAAGAAAGCGAAATGACGGCGTACCCTATCCTTTCAGTCGAGCTCGATTACATCTACCCTCAGTAATATTTTAGGTGTAGAGGCGATGGGTCCCATATCTGGTAGTTATATAAGCTTCTTTCTTTTTGGTAGTTATTATATAAGCTTATTGATTTTTCGTCCTCAGCGGGAAGAACTCCAGGTAAGTAGTTCCGCTCCATTCTTGGATAGAGGAAAGCCTTATTTCAAAGAAGGAATTGTCCACATAAATAGGAGAAAAACAGATATGTCGCTATGAGTCGGCCGGGTCACACAGGGTACCCCTAAATAGATAGAACCGAGGATAGCCATTGGTTGGTCGGTAATAAGGATCTTTATCCCGAGCGTCTTCTTAAAGGCTGAGAAAGATCAAAATGTTTAGGAAAGCATCTGACTCATTATGGAATTGATTAACAATCTTGCCCGGAAATGTTGAGGACTGCGATATCCACGCACATTGCTTAAAATAGCAAGGTTCACCCTATATCTAAGAAAGAATCCCAGCGGACAACACTTAATTGACTTCATCTCAGCCAGTAGTGGCCTTACTCTCTTCACTCTCTGGATTCCTTGACTAACGGATCTTTCTTATCTTATAGCATTAGGTAGTTTCCCCTTAAATCTAAGCCAGCAGGAAGCCCGAGCAACCTTAAGGCAGGGAGGGACGAAAGCATAGAATGATGATTAGTATGCGCGAGCGGAAATACAGTGAGTTTATTTAGAGACATTCTTTCAACTTAGTGACCAACTTCCGAGTCAATGTGTTAAGGATAAGTGGAATCCATCCAACTCTATGGCCGGAGTCAAGGAGCTAGGCAAGGAATAAGACGTCTTAGAAAGGTGAGAAAAGGCAGCAATGGAATCTGGTGCAAAGTCAATAGTACTAGGGCATTAAAGTAGTCATTTCCTCATATAAACAAGTTAGAAACAAGTCCACCAAGCAACTAGTGCTTCTATTACTTTAACTGGGGACTCAAACAAACACTGGTGCCAACAAGGATCGAACTCGGAACTAGGGAATTTACAACTGTATGATAAGACTTGCAATACAAACTATAAGAATGAGCTTAAGTACTTATAATAGCTACCATTATGTGACTCCGACATCGCACTCTGACTATCCATGGTTTGAACTCTGGAACTGTTATGCCGGTGTCAAGTAAACATCATTCTGCTTTTATTACTGTGCCGTGCCGGTGTTATGTCAATTGTTTCCTCTTATCTTACCTTCGTAGCATGGGTGAATGATCCCCGTTCCGTTGTCCGCTGTTTCTCCCTTGGGTATGTAGATAGAATAATTATACTATGAGAATTTCATAATAGTTTCCAAAGCGTTGTAAGAGAATAATTGTAATATAATGAATTGTGATATAATAATGGGTTCCGAAGCTAAGTAATTGCATCATTGGTTTCAAAGCAAAGTAATAGGATCGGTGTGTCCAAAGCGTTGTAAGAGAATAACGGGTTCCAAAGCCCAGTAATAGTAATATAGAATGATGGTAATTGTAATATAATAATGAATAGCAGAATTGGTTTAAAGGTCAGAAAAGCACTGGCACTGAGGAAACTATAAGACGAAGCCCTTACTTCTTTATTCCCTGCTCAATTCTGGATTATTGTATTATTACTCATAGTTACTTGTATTGATTCTTATAGTGAGTAGCCGAACGGAACTCTTCATGACACTTACCGCTACTATGCGTTCTATCTATTAGTCTAATATCTCTGGTTCAAAAGATGTAATCCAACTGCTATGGTTCAAAAGATGTAATAAGTCATTTCAGAATGCAAATCCATAAGGATGAGAGCTACTACTAGAGCACAGAAGGAACGAACATAGGATCTAACAAAAAGCACTGG